GTATGCGTCTGCTCCGTACAGGCTCTCTTCCCTTCGGAGCAGACTCAAGTGACGTTGGGGCAAAGGTGGGTAGGGAGATGAGGAACAAAATACCCATCTCTTCTGGCTTAAATGTCACAGCTGTATTGATGTACAGACACACGCACTGTGAGAAAGCAGGAGAGAAAGATCCAGGGCCTTCTTGGAGCACAAACCAAATCAGGCTGTGGCTAAATCCACACTGACTTGTGAAGACCACTAGAAAGAGCATATGAAAAGGGATGAGCATACACTGGTACTCAGAACAAGGTCATTTCTTCCTTTCTTTTTTTTTTTAAAAAAAGATTTTATTTATTTATTTGACAGAGAGAGAGAGAGAGAGAGAGCACAAGCAGGGGGAGTGGGAGAGGGAGAAGGAGAAGCAGACTCCCTGCCGAACAGAGAGCCCGATGTGGGACTCCATCCAAGGACCCTGGGATCATGACCTGAGCCGAAGGCAAACGCTTAAACCACTGAACGACCCAGGCGCCCCAAGGTCATTTCTTCCTCAAAGAAATATTACTTATAGTGTCCTGAAGGGCAATGGGGGAGGAAAAACCACCTGGAGATCAGAAATAACCATGAACCAATGGACAGCCAGCACCACCCCTACCACAGTCTATCAGTAATTCAGAGGCAGAAGAGACAGCAATAATATATGTTAGTTGCATCTAATTCAAACTGTAATTTTGGCAGTATTTCTAAGCTAGTGTGTATTCATTCAAAGAGTGCCTACTCTGTACCTAGAGCTGGGGAGGGGTAAGAAGAGATGAACCAGAAATAGTTCCTGCCTGAAGGAGCTCAGAATTGGTAGGGAGGGTAAGACAATGGGTACACATAATTAAAAAAAAAGTTGGGGCGCCTGGGTGGCTCAGTCATTGAGCGTCTGCCTTCAGCTCAGGTCATGATCCCAGGGTCCTTGGATCAAGTCCCGCATCGGGCTTCCTGCTCGGCAAGGAGTCTGTTTCTCCCTCTGACCTCCCCCCTCTCATGTGCGCTCTCTCTCTCTCTCTCTCTCTCTCTCTCTCATTCTCTCTCTTTCAAATAAATAAATAAATAAATAATCTTAAAAAAAAAAAAGTAACACAGTGATTAATGTTACAGGAACATCACCCAGTAAGGGCTGAGGAGTCTCAGAAAGGAGGAAGGTTTCCTCCTAACCTACAGGATTAAAAAAAACAAAATGCTTCATGGAATAGGTGGTAGTTGGGCTGGCCTTTGGATAAGCAGGAAGTCGGGGTGCAGAAATGACGGATGGCAGTGGGAAGGCAGAGAAGAGAGAAAGGCCTTCCATCTAGTATTCACCATAATGCGGCCAGAGGACTGCCTGCGTCAGAATCTGAGGAGGCCGTGTTTGAACCACATCTTGAGAAACCTGCAGGATTTCCACAGACAGAGATGGAAGGAAAAGTATTTTCCAGAAAGAGGCAATGTTCCCTCCTCTAAGATCTTGCTGTACATGCGCAGTTCTTACTTAGGCAGCCACTTTGTTCCCTTGACCTCCCAGTTCCTTACCATGAAATGGCCGTCACTCATTCACCCCAAAGTTGGTTGCCGTATGGTCGGAAGTAGAGGCTCCGACCATTCAGAGAGTGATATCTGTTACTTTTCTACTGCTTTCAGATTTCGGACTTTTAATATGCTCAGTTTAAGTGCACTAAACTCAAACAGAAACCCCTGCTCGGGGCCGCCTCCCGTCATCTATGTGGTCTCAGGAATGGATGCGCAAAGCAGAGTCTACGGACCACCTGCCTCCGAGTGGACAATGGGGTCTGCCGACATGCACATCCCGGGACCCCACCCCAAAGCCGTGGAGTCACAATCTTGCAATTGTTGTCTGAGGCTCTGGAAGTTCTCCGGGTGATTCTGAAGCGCACTACAGTTGGAGAAACCTTGAGGGGGGAGAGCGAAGGCGCGAAGGCAGGAGAGCACAGGGACACTGTGAGTAGAATCTGATGTGTGTGAACGGAAGAATGTGGGCCTAGAAAGGTAACTGAAGCTACAGTGTGGGAGGCCTTCACTGTCTGAGGCAGGGGATTGATGTGTATTCCTGGCAACAGGGAGCCATTCTTTTCAGGGGCAGAGTGAAGTGGGGGAGAGCCTGGAGTCTGGACTCACTAGCTACATCACCTCGGACAAGGCCGTTAATCTCTCTCTACCTCAGTTTCATCATCCATAAAATGGGAATACTCATCATACTCATCACACAGGGTCATCATGGGAGTAAATGAGTTCATGTCGATAAAGTATTTAGAACTGTGACTGGCGGGGCGCCTGGGCGGCTCAGTCGGTTAAGCAGCCAAATCTTGATTTCGGCTCAGGTCATGATCTCAGGGTCGTGAGATCGAGCCCCACTCGGGCTCCACGCTGAGTGTGGAGCCTGCCTGGGATTCTCTCTCTCTCCCCCTCTGCCCCTCCCCACCCCCTGCTTGCATGCTTGCACTTTCTCTAGCTCAAAAAAAAACAAAAAACAAAAAACAAAAAACCTGACTGGCATTAGTAAGTACAATATGTGTCAGCACAATTTTTTTTTTTAAGTAAGCTCTATGCCCAACATGAAGCTTGAACTCATGACCCCAAGATCAAGAGTCACATGCTCTAGTGACCAAGCCAGCCACGTGCCCCAGTGCAAAGATTTCTAGGTAAGAGGCGTGGTATGGTTAAGGCTGTCTTTTTGCAAGATTAAGCTAGCAGTAATGTATAGGAGTCAACTACCCATCTCCTATTAGCAAATCCTATCTTTTTTTTCCCCCTCTAACTCAGTGGCTCTCAACTTTGGCTGCACATTGGAATAACCTCCCTCACCTTCCACCCCTAGCCTGGACAGAAATCTATCAAGGGAATTCCAATATGCACCCCTGGTCAAGAAGCAGTGCTCTAAATATGTTTCAGATTGGTCTGTTTCTCATTCTTTTTTTTTTTTTAAAGATTTTCATTTATTTATTTGAGAGAGAGAGAATGAGAGATAGAGAGCATGAGAGGGAAGAGGGTCAGAGGGAGAAGCAGACTCCCCGCTGAGCAGGGAGCCCGATGCGGGACTCGATCCCGGGACTCCAGGATCATGACCTGAGCCGAAGGCAGTCGCTTAACCAACTGAGCCACCCAGGTGCCCCTGTTTCTCATTCTTGAGTCCTCACCCTACGCAAGACGTGGTGCATAGGTCCTTTTCCTGCATGATCTCATTTAAACCTCACAAGCACTTGGAAGTAGGTGCTAACATCATCCTCCCTTTAAAGATTGTTAGCAAGGGTGAACTCACTGCTCATGATTATCCAGCTAGAAAGTAGCAGGACTGGGCTTAGAGCCGAGGCTGCCTGGTTCCAGAGGCTCCAGTCTGAACCACTACTGTCTACTATGCCCCTAAACCAGGCACCTGCCCTCCCACGTGACACAGGCTACTGCGCTCACCTTCTTCCTGGCCTCTCTCCTTGCTTTGCTGCCTCCCTCCAATCAAGTGTGGACACAGCAGCCACTGAGATCTTCCAAGACATCCACTGGTTTGTGTCATGCCCTTTTCACAACCTTCCAGTGGCCTCCCAAGGTACTTAGAAACGGAAATGCAAACTCTATCCCATGGCCTTGAAGGTCCTACATGGTCTGACCCCTGTTCACTTCTCCAGCCTCATCTCCAGCCAGTGTTGACTACAGTCACTACAGTCAGCTACAGTGATCCTCAGATGCTTCAAAGGCTCTGAGCTCTTCCTTGCCTGAGGCCCCTGAATTTTCTTTTCTTTCTGCCTGGAATGCTCTCCTCTCCCCACAGGAGCTTTGAATGGATGGCTCTTTTTCTTCTGTCAAGTCTGAGCATAAATGTCACCTCAGAGAGGCCTTCCCAACTGCTCCATCTAAATGCTGTTCACTCTTATTTTCTATCTTAGTCCTTTATTTTCTTCATAGTACTTACATTGCTTCGATTTCTATTTACTTGTTTGTTTATCATTGGTCTTCTCTGGTAGAATGTGAGTTCCATAAGAGCAAAGAACCAATCTTCGCTGCTATGTATGCCACATATGGTTGTAGAGGGTGTGTACTGCACAAATGTGCTGCACCGAAGGGGGTGCATTCACAAGGATTTTCTGGCAAATGGCAGTAAAGTCTCTTAAGTAAAAGGGTTCTCTCTGTAACTTGCGTAAAGATGCTATATAGTCTGGCAGTACCCGGTATGTTTATTCTACTTACCAGTACGTATCTAGCTTCTAGCACAGGGCTGAGCCTACAGTAGATGCTCAATAAATATGTTGATTGGATGGAAGGAAAGAAGACAAAGTTAGAATACTACTGGAGGGCAAGCCAGAAAGGAGAGGGATACAGAAGACAGCTGACAGCTTTAGTAATTTGAGAAGAGGCAATAAAGGAGAAATGAAAGGTGATTATGTTTGATCTTACAGGGAAAAAAAAAAAGGCACCATTACCAAAGATAATGGAAAGCAAATAAGAAAACACTCGCTTGAGAAGACACTGATGCCATTTTGGATAGAATTTGAGAAGACGATGCCTTCTGCCCTCCATTTTGCGTTTCCTGCGTTTGTCACCATGTGACCGTAGGGCTTTAAAGAAGCTACCTAAATTTGCCCTGCCCGGTGTCCAAAATGGTCAGATCAGGGCTTTGCAAGGCCCATTCTTCCTGGTAAGGCTGTGCGTGGAAATGGCCTGCGTTTCACAATACAGTCACATCGAGGCCTGGTTAGAAGGAATTAAGGGAGAAGCGACACAGATACTCACTTTCTCAGTAGATGACACTCACTCTTTCTCTCCTGCCACACGCCAGGGCAGTTTCTTTCAGCTGGTGGCCCTTAAAATCAGTGTTTCCTTCCTCCCTTTTGCGAATGCACTGCCCTCCCTGCCCCCCCAACCCCGGCTAAAACCTGAGGCCACCATAGAAAATTCCCTTGCTCATGACACTGGCCAGGCATTTCCCTCTCTTCTAAGTCCTGCTCTCCAGAACGGCAGCACCCCTCTGTCTCGGGCTATGGGACACATACCTCTGCACACCCGGCAACAGGAATCCGGAACAGAGACTGGGAACGCACAGGTTAACTTGGGGCACGTCTTGAGACCGCAGTACACATTCCCCTCCTGCGAAGGAGAAACAGAATTGAAGGTCAAGAGCACCTGGGATGAGTAGGGAATCCAAACATTCCTCTTCTTCCCAGTGTTCTCCCATGGTTAGTTCTAGACACTTCCTAAATGTCATTATGCTTTATTTTTTTCGGTTCACTCTTTCGCCATGCCAGAGACCATGTTACTGAAGAGTTGGCCCTCCTGTTTGGACCTCCTGGTCAAAGATGGTACAAAAGCAGTCCGTGTAAGGGACGCCATCGGCCTGCCAAACCCCCAAATATGGTCTTGCTCCTCTCTTTTCTGTTCGTTATATCCTCTGGTCCCCATCACAACCCAGCTGGATATTGGGATTTCAGGGAATGCAGATTTGCATGAGAGCCACCTTTTATAACACTCCAAACCGGGGAGACAAGTTCTCTGGGGTAATACAAAACTATACAGATGATCTGAATGGACAGTTCAGTTCAGCACAAGGCAAGGGAGAAGAGCAAATTTACCTGCTATGTCTGTCTTTACATACTTTCCTCTCCCTAAAGTTCTATGTGCCAAACATCATTCCTTAAACCTTGTTCTTTTCTTAAAAAATATTTTATTCATTCATTTGAGAGAGAGAGAGAGCATGGGCAGTGGGAGGGGTAGAAGGAGAGGAGGAAGCAGACTCCCCACTGAGCAGGGAGCCCTGACATGGGGCTCGATCCTAGGAGCCCGAGATCATGACCCAAGCCGAAGGCAGACGCTTAGCCAACTAAGCCACCCAGGCGCCCCTAAACCTTGTTCTTAGAAGCATATTATTCTGGGGCTAGAAGGGTCCCTGAAAAGTCATTAGGAAGGGAAGGGAAGGCCACAACCAAATTCTCCTAAACTACCGAGATACCATATTTTTACTAAAAGTCCCTAAGGGAGGAGATTCTAGAACTTCCTTCAGCAATCCAGTGTTTAATGCCCTTACAGGCAAAAAAGTTCCTACGTCAAACTGCATTCTCTCACACTTGAGTTGAAACAGCCATTTTCTTCCATTTTCTGGTTCTACCTCTTACATTCTCTGCACTGCACAATTCCATGAAGATATAATCAATATACTTTATACCTAAGGTATATACAGTTCTTCTGACAAGTAACATCAGAGGAATAACCATGTTTTGCTGAGAGAGTTCTCACTGCAGGGCATCAGGGGAAAACTGGTTGGGAGAACACACCAGAGATGGGAGCCAAGAGATAGCCCCATTTTCTTGTGAATTGGACTGAGTGGCCTTAGATGGCATTGATTGCTTTTCTGCTCATGGCATCCCCAAGGCTTCAGATAGTTGAGTCCTTCTGATAAAGGCTTTGCTGGGGTGACTATTTTAAAAGAGAGGACAGATCAAGACCATCAGCACATGTTTGTCCATTTAAGCAGTCCTAAAGCTTTAATAAAGACCAGGATATGATTGGGTCTGATTTCCTTCACACAGGTCAGGGCTGTTCAGGGTTCACGAAAATCAGGGAGTCTGGATTGACAGGGAGGCTTAGGATTTAAATGCAATTTGTCTTGGGGCACCCTGGGTGGTTGAGTCGGTTGAGCGTCCAACTCTTGCTTTCAGCTCAGGTCATGACCTTAGGGGTCGTGAGATCGAGCCCCGCATTGGGCTCCATGCTCAGCAGGGAGTTCGGCTTGAGATTCTTTCCCTCTCCCTCCGCCCCTCTCCCCGCTTGCTCTGTCTCTCAAATAAATCAATCTTTTTAAAAAAAAATAAATGCCATTCGTCTTCCTTCCAAACACCTTACAGTGTCGGCTCCAAGTAAAGGTGTAAACACAGGAGGAGCTCTGGTGTTGGGGTAGGGCCAGCAGGGACATTAGGACGCCAGGTCTTACCGAACAGCTGCACTGGGTGCACTGATTGGGTTGCCGGTTCTGAAAGAGCCCTTCAGCCACGAACAGCTCACCGTGTTGGTAAGTGGTCCCGTTGTACTCACACGACTTGCTGGTCACCTTATTGTTTGCCGGGGGTAGGGAGTCTTCTGGGACAGGGTGGAGAAAAACCACACCGAGTATTGGCATCACTGCAAAGAATTTCATAAATCCCGACAGCAGATGGGGCTGTACCATGTAGAAGGAGTTAAAAGATAATCCCTGATTCAGTGGCTGATAAAGCAACCAGACAAGGACGGCAATGGACATGACCATCCATCTATTCTTGCATTTGTTGAGCATTTATTGAGCGCCTATTATGTGCCAGGTACTGTGATGGGCACTAGAGAGAGATCAGAGAAGGATAAGGGCTCCTGCCTCCACGGAGCTAAGAGACCAGGCGAATAATGTGTTACCTTGCCCGGAAAGAGGGAGTCCTTTCAGAAGAGGAACCATCTATTATAACTACCTTGGTAACTTTACCCCCTCCCATGTTTTATATCACTTGGCGTGCGCTTGTATGCTTATTCCAGCCTCTGGCGTCCTTGCCTTTTTTTTTTTTTTTATGAAATATAGTTGACACACAAAGTCTTCGCTTATTTTTAATTCCACCACCAAGATCATCATTCCCCTCCCACTCGTTTCCACCTGCTGATGTCCTGTCTGATTTTGAAGGCTCAGGAAAAGTCCCTTTTCCTCTACGAAGCATTCCCTAATAGCTCCAGCCCACAACCTGGCTCTCTCCAGACATGTGATTTCTGAAGTGCACAATCCGGCACTTGAATGTTACTGTAACTCCCATTTGTGACTCGCGGTCACCTAGCCAACAATTTAGGAAGAGATTTCACATACATTATTACAAGAGAGCCTCACAACAACCCTATCAACCAGGTAAGGCAGATCCTTAACTCCATTTTTCACTTGAGGGTAACAAGCCTCTGAGGTTGACTTTTCCAAAGTCCTGGATGTAGTAAGTGATGACCCCAAACTCCATCTTCTTTCTGTCAACTTATGTACACATGTGTAGGTATCGCCTTTTAAGGACCGGGATGCTGCCTTACAGAGTCTCTCTTCTCTGTGGCATCTAATGCAGGGTTGCCCTGTAGCAAGAAATCAATGCACCAATGCGCTTGGTGAGCTGACTCTAATGAATGGTCTCAAGATGTCTTTTTACTGGGCTTCCTTCAAATGCATGGTGTACATGCATGCGTGTACACCCTCACGTACTCGCACACACACACCCAACAATGAACAAGCCCCCAGATTAAACTCATCACTGATGTGCAAATGCACAGCAGATATAAACGGGGCTTGGAAAGTGCCCTTTGTAGAACAGTGGAAGAAGGGAAATCAGGGGAGTGGTGTGTTTCATTAGGGGAAGGCTTAGACAGTTAGACCATCCTTTCTTTCTCATCAGGCAAAAGTATAATGCAAATGAGTCCATCTTATGGGTTAATTATACCTCAATCCATCTGTTTAAAAAAACAGAATGATACTCTGGTTTCTCTTCAGATCGTATAAATCTTTCGCTTTTTGAAAAAAAAAACAGAATGAAATGATTCTTAGGATGTAGGTGAAAATGATAAAGGCTAATGGTAATAATAGTAATAATAATAACAATAATAGCTAATATTTACTGAGCCCTAATTGATATGCAAGGCACAGTGGTGAATGCTTTTCCATACATGATTGCACTGGCTTTTACTAGTAACATTCTGAAATGGACACGGTTATGCCCATTTTGCTGATGGGGAAACTAAGGCTTAAGAAACTAACTGTCTTGTCCCAGGTGGCACAATTTGTGAGCTACGGTAGCACCAACATCTGAACTGATGTCTGACTGATTCTAGAATCTTCCATCCTGGCCACTATCAAGGAGGGTGTTAATCACATCAAACCTGTAACACGGGAAGGGACTATTTAATTTAAAAACCTAAACCAGTGGAACATGAAGGCTGTGTTGTCCCTCTAGAATGTTTTGGCCTACAATACCCAGGAAACCGCTTTCACACTTATTTTGGCTTCAGCGATTTGCATAACTCACTCAATTCTATGCTTTGCTATATAAATGGATCTAGCTGCAATTTCTGAGTAACTTACTCCTTGGGTGTTAACTACTTACTAATGACTCCTTACAGGATACAAAAGTAGTTCCCTAAGAAAAAGCCTTAGGGGCGCCTGGGTGGCTCCGTCGGTTAAGCATCTGACTCTTGCTTTTGGCTCAGGTCATGATCTGAGGGTTGTGAGATCAAGCCCCACGTTGGGCTCCACACTCAGCAGGGAGTCTGCTTGAGATTTTCTCTCCCTCTCCCTCTGCCCCTCCCCCTGCTTGCACGCTCTCTCTTTCTCAAATAAATAAATACATCTTAAAAGAAAAAAAAAAAGAAAAGAAAAAGACTTAGCTCCTAGTGAATGTTTAACTCATACCAGTTGACCCTAAGTCCCTGCTTCCGCCCACAAGCACACACAACCAGACAGCTGCAGCTGGTAGACAGGAGTGAAACTCACTGGAGAAGGGACAGGGGCAGGCCCATTCACCCCCCTGGGCTCTAATTATACCAAATCTCAGGATTTTGTGGTGAAGGAAAACTGGGATGACCTACAAAAGAATATCTACCATGACTCTCGCAGGAGTTGACAGATCTTTGGAATGCCAAAAGAAGAAAAAGAAGGTTGGAATTATTTTGCCTCAGAAGAATGTGGATTGATTTTTGAAATGGGCCTTCTACCAAGGGATCAACGGGGAAGCAACTGCAGGGAGAGGTTTTCCAGTGGAATCATGACCTTGAGAGTCTTTCTTGCAACAGTCGTCAGAGTAGCCCGGCATCGAGTCTATTAATCTACTCAACAGGAGATAGGGAGAACGCGAAAGAGAGAAAGACAAAACAGAATCAAAGAAAAAGAAACCGATTATGAGCATGCTTACTGCTAGTTTTACACAATAAATTTATCTTAATTTCTTTCCATTTATTCTTATTTCATTCTTTTAATAGCCCTAACAGAGTGGTAAGAGAATTACAGAAATGAGGCTACTGACATCCCAAAAGATTTGGCCCATGCCACCCAGGTACTCAACAGGAAAGCCAACTCAGAAATAGAGTTTTCCTGTCTCGAAGTTTGTGCTCTTTTTACAGAGTGGGTGTTAAACATTGGCAGACGGAAAGGAACGGAAATCCATACCTGGAAGAGATATCTGTGCTCCCGTGTTTACTGCATCCCAAGCTCGTCGTGGCATTATTCACAATAGCCAAGGTAAAGAAACAGCCTAAGTGTCAGTCAGTCAATGAGTTGATAAAGAAACTGTGGTACATATATACAACGGAATAGTATTCAACCTTAAAAAAAACATCTCGCCACTTGCAACAACATGGATGACCCTGGAGGACATTATGCTAAGTGAAATAAGCCAGATACAGAAAAAAATAAATTGCATGGTCTCACTTTTTGTGAAATCTAAAAACACATCAAATATATAGAAGCAGAGGGTAGAACGGTGGTTACCAGGGCCCGGGGGTGGGGGAAATGGAGAGATGCTGGTCAAAGGGTATAAAGTTGCAGTTACATAAGATGAATAAATGTCTAGAGATCTAATGTACAGCATGATGAGTATTATTAATAATACTAGGTTGTATCCCGGACATTTGCTCAGAGAGCAGATTTCAGGTGTTCTCCCCACAAAGTAAATGGTAACTATGTGAAGAGATGATGCTAATTAGCTTGACTCTAGTAATCATTTCAATACATATACATATGTGTATCAAATCAGCATGTTGTACATCTTAGACATATACAATTTGTACTAAAGGAAAGAGTTGTTTTTTTTAAACTGGGAGGTAGGATCACGGAGTCAAAAATCCCAGCTTGGGTACCCACTTTTCCCTTTGGGCCCCAATTTTTCTATCTAAGAATGGGATGTATGGAAGTATTGAATCACTATATTGTACACCTGAAGCAAATACAGCACTGTATATTAACTACACTGGAATTAAAATAAAAAAAAATATATATGAAAAAAGGCACCCCCAAACTTAGTGGATAAAAACCATAAAAACCCCAAATCATCATCGTAATAAATTAATTAAATGGGCATGGACACAAATGTTAGCTGCACAGTAAAGTGGAACAACAAGGCCCTTACATTCCTAATTTATAACGCAAAGTAAAGAATACACGCTCTCAGAAATAAATAAGTAAGTTGGAGAAGTGACTTGTAATCTGCAGTTTTATCAAATAAAAATGGGTAGTTGCTTCATAAAAAAGAAGTGGGACATGGGACTCAAATCTCCTCTCGCATCTTTAGAAGGCCAACACGGCATGTGGGGCGCCACAGAAGCAAGGAAGGCCACCTGGTACTCTACGCTCTCCCTTCCTAGATTTTCCAAGGTGGCTGGGCTCCTAACCAACTATCCTTGGAACACATTTGGTATTCCTGGCTGAACACGGGCAGAAAATCAGTCCAAAGCAAAGCTGGCCTCAGGGCCCCTCAGGGGAATCCTACTCTGAGGAGGAGTTGGGACAAAGACATCGTGGGGTCAGCAGACAAGCGCGAAGCCACGTGACTCCAGTTGTGCTGGGAAAGAAACTGTTCCTTCCGTGCCCCCCACCCCCCCCATTAGGGATGGTCTCACGTGTAGCAGAACTCTGACTTCTGGGGAGCTGGGAAAAACACCCCCCCTATCCTCAATCTCTCTCCCTGCCTTTCATCTCACTGGTGCCTAAAATGCCATCACTAGAAGTCCATTTCTTTGGGGTAAATGGTTGCCCTTTTGCAATCAGATTTTATAACCCCAGTATTTCTGTGAGAGGTTACACACTGTCCAGAACATCTCAGTATGAATAACTTTGCCACAAGTTTGTTATGCTTTGTTTTTTGCTCTTCAGAGGAACTGGCAAATGTTACCAAGAAGTCTGTGGTCCTACCCCACTTCCTTTGGTACACCGTTCTCTCCCCTCTTGGCACTGGCCTTCTTCCCACCCTCCAGAACCCGAAGTCCTCGTGCTGGCTGCTGACTTCTCTACTCTCCCTACCCCCAAATTTCTATTTCCTTAGCGGGCCACTTCTTGGCAAGTCAGAAAGGCTGCTTGTATGTCAGGAGACAAATCAGCTCCC